TGCAGAGAGGCAGGGCCAGCCCAGGACAGTGGCTAACACACAGGCTCTGAATCCCAGGCCTTCCCCTTAGCAGCTGTGTAAGGCTGGCAGCTCATATAAACTCTGTGAACCTCAGTGTCATCGTCTCTAAAATGGGCCAATACCTATTAACATCTGCAGAGAGGCAGGGCCAGCCCAGGACAGTGGCTAACACACAGGCTCTGAATCCCAGGCCTCCCCCTTAGCAGCTGTGTGAGGCTGGCAGCTCATATAAACTCTGTGAACCTCAGTGTCATCGTCTCTAAAATGGGCCAATACCTATTAACATTGTCACTGTGCAGCTTCTTTAACTTGTGTAGATGCTGCCAGTGTTCCAGAGATGTGTTCATCTTCTTCCACCCTCTCTGGGGCTGCCATTCACCACCGCTCCCAGAGGAAGCCATCCACTTCCGAGACACCAGAGCTCACTCTGGACCCCATGGGCAGACTGTGCTCCTGGGGGGCAGCATGGGGACCCAATGTGATGAGACATGGCTCTGTCAAGTGCTAAACCGGGCAAGTCTAGAGGAGCGGCCCCAAAGGGCAGCCACCTGGGAAGAGGTGGGAGGGATTGGTTCTGGCCAGTCTATGAAGTAGACCCCTGCCCTGCCACTCTGCCTGTGGAGACACTGCTGGCCGGTAGTTCCTGGTGTAGTCCATGGTAGAGGCTGACCATTGCTGGGGCTGCCGGCAAGGCAGAACAGGGCTGGGCAGCTCAGCTTGGGTCTGCTCTCTGCCCGGCCAGGTGGGATACAGGGCAGTGGAAGTATACTCAAGCTCTGGAGTCATGCAGACCAGAGTTCGAATCCCAGATCCACCTCTTACAGGATGTGAGACTTTGGTCAACTGTTTATTCTCCCTGACCCTAAGTTGCCCCATCTCGAAAATGGGACCAAAACCACCCACCTGTAGCATGGTTGAGGACTAATATCACCAATATTAGGTGTAAAGAACCCAACAGTGCCAAGGGTCACTTCCTAATACACAAACAGACCCCCTATTCCGATGCCTACATGGGGAGTGGTGGAGGGAGGAAGGCCGAGGGAAGACCAGGCCCCAAACCAGCATCCTGGACATGGAATCTGCCCAGATTCCCTATTCAGGCTTGTCAGAAAGTCCTCGGAGAGATTTAATTGGGATGGTACCTCCTCCTGGGAGAGAAGACCCTGACGTCTGCCCAGTGAAGCTGAAGGTCACATCACATCTGAAAGGCGACTTTGTTCTTCCCGGCCTCATCTGTTATGCATGAAAGAGCACACGGCGGGTGCTCAGGATTCATAATTTGAGACATCTGGAGACTAAAGACACTGGCCAAATTTAAACCGAAAGATGAACTTGTTGGGTGTCTTTTCAGATTATAGGGGAAAGAAGCAAGCAGAGAGTTTCTTACCACCTACGATCCACTCAGAATTCACAGGGAGTCTGCCTAACAGCTGACATCAGAGGGCTCGACCTTCAGGTTCTGGACATTTTAACTATCACCATTTGAAAGGGACGAAGAGACAAATGCCCAAGGACACACCCACAAGCCACAGCTGAAGGGCAGAGGCCTGGGACAGTGGCTGAAGGAACTTTGAGAGCAGCCTTTCTGTGAAGGTCACTGTGCAGACCGACAGGTCATCCCGGGCCACACAACCACAGACTGAGCTCCGGGGAGGCCAGGAGATAGTGGAGCAAGGGTCACACAGGTCTGAGTCTGGGCTGTGGCCCTGCCCAGCACTCAAAGCATGACTGCCTTCCCCTCCTTGCCCTGGTGTCCCCAGCAGGAAAGGGAACTAATACTATGTGGACTCAACACAACCATTACGATGAGATGAAGCTGCAAGCTCAGCGCAGCCCTCAGCACACAGTAAGAGCTCAGTTAACACCTGCCGCTATTCTCAATTCTACTTTGGCTCTCTCAAATGTATTTGGTTCAAATTGCCCTTTGCTCTGAGATAACCTTTCAGCTGTCTGAGTGATAATGGTCACCTCTGAGTCTCACAAAACTCAGGGAGGCAGAAAGGGAGGAGACTGCTGTACCCTTTCACAGATGGGGAAACCGAGGCTCAAGGAAAGAGGTGACTGACCCAGAGGCAGAGCCAAAGCTAGACCTTGGGTCTCCTAAGGTCACTAAAACACATGCCACTGTCCCCCATCACACTGAAGCCACACATTGAGTTCACCTGGGCACTGCCTCGTCTGCCTTTCCCAGCACTGAGCCCCAGGCCCAGTTCATGTTCAGCACAGTAAGGCTGTCGAGTGAGTAAATGTCATGGATCCACTGAAGAATGTGATGGGAATGACCATCCCCAGGGAGGTTACACACAAAACCATATCCACATTTCGGGGGCTTCGCGGACCCTGGCCAGGACCCCCTGACCTCGGCTTTCAGAGACTCTTCAGTGCTGACCCACTGCATCAGTGGTGTGGCCTCGACGCGTCATCCAGAGACAAGCTTATCACACACACACCCACTGGCTGGGTGAAAAGGAGGCCCCACTGGGCCTTCAACCAAGGACCCTGGTGCCATTATCCCCCACTCTTGGGCCAGTGGTCACTGCTGCTCCCATCACCAAAGGGCAGGAGCTGCCGGACACTGCCCTCCCACCTGTCATGTACAGTACTGTCCCAGCCACCAGGTCACTCCATCTAAGTGCCATGTGTATTTTAAAAAGAGAACATTTATTTGTTTTTCTCCTCTTTAGAACTTTGACAGCATCACAAAGTAAAGCACAAGACTCATCTGCAGACACAGGGGAAGCACACCCGCTTGTCACAAAGAGACCGAGGCAAGAGCTACAGTGTGACCTGCACAAACAGCTGTCTTTCTCGGGACCCTGGCCCCTGTGCCAAGGATGGTCCATGCCCCATCCCACCCTTGCTGCCTGATGACAGATGCAGAGGCTGATACCTAGCGGGAGGTGGGAGCGGGGCTGCAGGAGCTGGGGCAGGGAAAGGGAATTATCCTCATATTGACAAAGACCCTATAGACCCCATCCGCCTCTCCCCCAGGCACTTCTGTCTAATGTGTTCTAACCAAACACTTGGTGAGACAAGTGGAGTCTAAGAAACGGTGTGTGTTTTTCCTGGCAGAACCTGATCCTTCAAGCCAGGTCACTGGAAGCACCTCAGGATGGAAAAGATGCCCGCAGCTGCGCCAGGTTTTGGGATACTGGTAGCCCCATGGGGTAAAAGGAGAGGAAGAAAAGAGATTCTGAAGTCAGATTGCTGCTGGTACGCCTCGACCCAGGGTCGCAGCGTCAGGAAAGAGAACAGCATGATGCTTACAGAGTTTGATTTTGTTTCGCCCTCTGAATTAGCAGACTTCAAACACTCGCATTTTCACGGAAATCAACAGCGAGACAGCTAGCAGGGCACGCAGGCTTCCGCCAGCTCTGTGTGGAAAGGCACCAGATGGCTTGTTATGAAACACATTTTGGTCAGAAAATAGCTGGGGTTTTTTGGTTTCTGGGAGGACAACAAAGCTAGTTAAAAAGGAGGCGTGAGTTGTGAGAGGTGCCAGCTCTGTGTGGAAAGGCACCAGATGGCTTGTTATGAAACACATTTTGGTCAGAAAATAACTGGGGTTTTTTGGTTTCTGGGAGGACAACAAAGCTAGTTAAAAAGGAGGCGTGAGTTGTGAGAGGTGGGGGTAGAGAAAGCTGCTTTGGCATCAGATCTGGACTCCACCCCTTCCACGCTTGTAGCCTTGGTTTCCTCATCTGTAAAATGGCTGTACAACATTTCTAAATGAATCTAGGTATTAAGTTTCACACACCATCTCAGGAAGTGTGGGGAAGCAGGGCTCTGAGATGCTTGCACACATAGACACACAGACAAAACAGAAGAGTAGGCACCACCTCGTCTGCAGGAGTGGAGAGGCAGGGATGGGGACCCTGATGGAGGGCAGTCATTCAGAGATGATCCCCACTGCCACAGTCAGACTCTGGGAGTCATGGACAGCCAGTTACACTGGTTCCAAGCACTGATGGGGACCATTCACAGTACTTTGGGCCCCTTCTCATGGAGGAAGGGCAGAAAGAAAGCTCTATTTAATGCAGCACTATGGGCAAGCCCCCGGGGGCCACACTTGCTGTGTGTGCTTTAAAGTGCCAAGCTGAGTGTTGTCTTTGGTCAGGGCTGCCCCTCAGGGTGTCTGAGAGCCCTGGGGTCCAGGGCTCAAGCCTGGACCTGCTGGGCCCTGCGGAAGGTAGGCTGGAAGACACAGTCCTCTCCTGAGGCTGCGGGTGCCCACCTGTACTCAAAAGATGCTGGAAATCCGACTGCTTTCAGTAAGAAGCAGAGTTACCTCCAGGGAAATCCTGGTCCTTACAAAGAGAGAAGGAACAAGAAATGCTTTGGTGACTGTCCTGATACCCACAGCTGGAGCAGAGCTTGTGTGGGAAGAGAGAGCAGGAGGCCAGTTACAGCACTGCATGCTACGCAGCAGGAGACGTGCCTGACGCAATACTGGCTCCCGAGCATAAACCAGGAGTCACTGAATAAATATTCAAGGCATCTTTCAGTTCTTAGAGAAAGAGCAGGGTTAAAAAAAAATCTCTCTCTTTCCCCCTGCTTGACTGGCTGCAACTTTGATCTGCAGGCAGGCAGTGCTGCAGGTGGGAAGAGGTGGTTGGTGGGTCCTGGAGCTGGCTCCCCTGCCGAGGTGGCTTTGGTCTGTCACGTGTCAGGGCCGGTTGTGTCCTGCCGGCCCTGGGCCCTCAGAAGCTGAAGAGATCATCCTGCTCGGTGCCGCTGCTGTCAGGCTTGTCCCAGTCACTAGGTGAGAGGCACTGAGCATAATGGATGTCCTGTGCTGTCAGCCCAGTGTCCAGGACTTGAGGGTTCGTCCGCGATTGGGCAAGCCTGGAAGGCAGAGCTGTGTGAGTTGAGCATTGGGGCCAGGGGTTGGTGGGGGCCTGAGAAGCCAGTCCAGCCTGGCCAGCACCAGGGTCAGCAGCAGGAAAACGGAGGGACACAGGGCCAAGGAAGTTCCAGATGCCAGGAGAGGTGGAGCCTCTGACCAGAGAGCCTCCCCTTGAGGGTCACAGGGGCCAGAAAAGCGTGGGGCAGGCAGAAGGCATTCCCACCCCCCTAGAGAGAAGCCAGAATGCCCACACAATGCCATGGCTGTCAGGGAATGCCAGGGCAATGGGTGGCAATGGGGGCGAGCCATGGCAAGGAAACTGGTCCAACCATGAGAAGACGATTTGGCCGTAACTGAGTTCAATACTGCACTGTTCAAAAAGCAAATTTTAAAAGAGAGACAACCTAAATGTCCAAAAGAATAGGGGAGCATGAAGTAAATTACAGCCCATGTCCTCAAGAGTATGTTAGGCAGTCAATGAACGACGTGTTTCTGGGAGTTTTTAACAGCCTGGAGAAATGCTTCCGACACATTGATGTTAAGTGAAAAACCAGGATCCCAAAATGCATACATGAGGAGCTGATCAATGAAAAATAATGTATATGTATAGGATTAGCATAAATTAAGCCCAAAAATCTGGGCTGTGGGATTACGAGATGGTGTTATTTTCTGCTTAATGCTTTGCTGATTTTCAAAATTGTTAATAAAGGGTACATGATACTTGAATAATCTTGAAAAGCAAATGGAAGATCTTCTAAACAAGAGGGTTGTAGACAGCCACTGAAGCAGGGAAGGTGGTAAAAAGAACATCTCTGCCTCCAGGAAGGGACTGTGTGTGCACCCCCGCTGCGGGCTGGGCCAAGGAATTTCCACCAGGCTCTGGCAGGAGGGGCCAAGAGGGCAAAAGCCCCTGCCTCCGCTCCCACCCAACAAGCAAAGCCCCTGCTGAGAGCCCCTGAGGGAGAAGGGGAGGCCTGACTGACCAGGGCCTAGTGCTTTGGGCTGCCCAGGCCTCTCTCAGCCACAGCCTTCGTGGTGGCATGTCCCCAGGCTATGGTAGCCATGGCTACAGGGATGGCCCCTGGGAAAATGAGAAAATGCCACCACCCTCAGGCTTTACCAAAATATCTCCTCACTGTGCCTGGCATTCCTCCTCTATGGAACACTCTGGGGGCTTAATTAAGCACTGCCTTCTCCCTGCCTCTTTTCATAAATGCAAAACCTCTGCAGGGAACAAAGCCTGCAAAAAAAGCCAATTTTTGAGGGCTACACCAGGTGGAGGAGGAGGAAATCAGCTCGAGCTGCATGCAGTGTGTTTAGTTCAGCTCAGACTCACCACAGCAGCCACCAGGAAGGGTTTTTGACTCCACAGTAAGCACTTTCTAACAGATCTGGCCAACCCTGGCAGGGGCTCTTTCCCCAGGTGGTGAGCTCCTGTCTCTGGAGGTATTCAAGTAGCAGGATGGGGATCCTCACTGTGGAGGTCAGTGGCTTATGTTCTCTGACATGGCACAAGGCCCCAGGAGGAAAGGACAGGCAGGGCGGGCCCACACATGCTAGGCCCCCATCTGCAGCACAAGGAACCCAGCTAACCTACCTGGAAAATGCTTCATCCAGGCCGTCATCCAGCTCCTTGGGAAAACAAAGCAGGAGATGAGAACTCTGTTGGGGGAGCCCATGCCCACAGCTGGGGCCTGTCCTGGCCCTGGGTAAGCGACAGGCTCAGAACACAGTATAGGGGTATGCCTGGAGCAACAGGCACAGGCAGGCCCCCACCTGACTGCCGCCACCAGCATCTCAACCCACAGACCCAGAGCTGGGGCTTTGTGACAGGAGAAAGGGCATATCACGGGGCGTCTGGAAACCTGGGCGGGTTCCATTCCCTGCTCTGCCACCACCTGCCTGTGGGACCTGGGGCAAGTCACTGCTCCTCTTTGAGACTCAGCTTTTCCTTCTGTAAAATGAGGGGGTGGAACCTGATGACTTCTAGGGCTTTCAAATCCCAAAAGCAAGAGGGTGGGGAAGGAGGTTTTCTTGTCTTCATCCACTTCCAAAAGCCAAACCAAAATTCCAAGCCTATGAAGAATACTGATGGCGGGAATCCCATAGCCTCAGAAGACAAACGCTGGGCGAGGTCCCTCCATGGCCTCCCGATGAGGATGGGCAAGTGACAAGCATGGTTTCCAGACAGCAGAGAACAGTCTCGAGGGACACCCGGGTAGTCCCCAATAGCCAAATGGACTTGACATTTGTTCAAGTCCCTCAATGTTCCAGATTTTTAAAAATTAAAGAGATATGACAAGAAGAGTTAACATGAGATCCTGCAATGGATCCTGGACCAAAAAAAGGACATTGGAGGAGCAAATGGAAGCATGTGAGTAAGTTCTATAGGTCATCTAGAGTGTTGTGTCAGTGTCGGTTTCCTGATTTTGATCTCTGTGATGTGGTTATGAAAGATGGCAACATTTGGGGAGTCTGGATGAAGGGTGAACAGCAATTCTTTGTACTATTTCTGTAACAAAGTCTCAAATTATTTCCAAATGAA